CCTATACCAGGGGATAATACACACACATACATACACACACACACACACACACACACACACACACACACACACACACACACACTTATCTGTTATCTGAAGTAGGTGGGACCGGAAGTGTTTTAGGGTTGGGCTGTTTTCAAATATCTGCATATACATTAGCCTCAGGAGTAGGACCCAAACATAAACACAAAATTCACTTTGTTTCACACACATCAAATCCACATTGACTGAAGGTATCTTTATCCGATATTTTTAGCACATCTGCACTTTGCAACTTGTTGTCTGGTATGGACTTGGAGTGTCACATCAACATGCATAAAGTTTGATTTCAGGGTACTTTAGATTTTGGGGTTGGCAATGCTAAGCGTGAACAACCTTTTGAGACAATCTGTTCTCAGACACATGAGAAATGCCAGGTCAGGAGGGAGGCAGCAGGTGCAACATCAACATCCAACCAGCTCGCACACACCTTTGAAGGGTTACACGCGAATACCCCATCCCTTCTCACCATTTCACTCATCTGGAGGCTTAAAACTGCACTCCAGCATCTGCTTGGCAAAGGCCCAGGAGGCCTGGAGCAAGGGGACTGGCTGGGCCCGTCTGGGCTCGCTGAACTCAGCTAAGGGGACCTCAGAAAGCACAGATGAGCACAGTCCACCTGCGGGGCACAGCGTGGCCCATACCAGCACGAGGCGCAGCACACACAGCGCCCTGGGGAGCAGTGATCTCTCCGTTCTTACACCCCAAACCATCCAGATATTCTAATATGAAGACATTGGGAAAGTCAATTCGTCTGATTTTGGGAGCGGCAGGGGTGGGGGGGTATGATTTTTTTTAAGCTGAGGAGTCACCAAGATAACAGAGGGTTCCCCCACACACACTCTCAGTTCTCTGTCCTGTTAGCATCAAAACATGAAGAAGAGACACCTGTTACAGTTTAGAAACCAGCTGTGACATGTGAAGATAGGCTGAGTATTCCTCACCTGAAAATTCAAAATCCAAAGTGGCCCCAAATCCTATAAATTTCTGAATAACAACAAAATCCCAAATTTTAGATTTTTCAGATTACGCATGCTCAAACATCTCCAAATCCAAACTCGGGCACCTCTGGTCCCAAAGGCTTTGAACAGCAAGAAATGCTCAAGCTGCCTTAACTAGGCCTTGCTGACTACTCACGCAGCACTGGCTTTCCCTAATGTCTTTCTCTGTCCCAGGATACCATCCAAGTGATCAGCATGTTTGGCCCACACATCTCTGAAGCTCCCTCTGTTGTCTAAAGGGTTCTCAGACTTTCCTGGTTTCTGAAAAACTTCATAGATCTGGTGGTTTTCTGGAATCGTTGCCTTGGGGAACAAAACGATCACCTGATGTTATTTGTACGATCAGATAGGGTTATAGGGTCTGGTGCTGTGGCAAAGCTGGTTGCACCGCCACCTGTGCTGCCAGCAGCCCACGTGTTTGCCAGTTCTAGTCCTGGTTGCTCCACCTCCCATCTGCTCCCTGCTTGTGGCCTGGCAAAGCAACAGAGGATGGTTCAAGCACTTGGGACCTGCACCCATGTGTGAGAACTAGAAGTCTCAGGCTCCTGGCTTCAGATTGGCTTGGCTCTAGTTTTAATGATCACTTAAATAGTGAACCACAGATGGAAGATTTTTTTCTCTCTCAATCTTTCAAATAAGTAAATAAATCTTTTAAAAGTAAAAATTTCAAAAGGAATGTTGACAATTACACAGATAAACATCCCCAAGAGCATACTGGAAAACAGGGGCTCCAGCCACGGAAGGAAATACTTAGCCTCATGCTTGGACACCGGTGAGGCTTGGGGGTATTTTGTGCTCCCAGCAGTTCCCAGCCACCTGCAGCTGGGTGCAGAGCGCCTCTTGCCAAGCACACCTGCAGGCACCAGCAGTAACTACCCCCTGGCATAATCACCATCAGCTTCTGCATGCTAAGCAACCAGATCTGGGAGAGGCAAGTGCTTTCCACTCCCGCTCCCCTCTCCTCCCCACTGGGCGATTCCTGTGTCACAGTGAAACCAGCAGACGGTGCTTTTTGGTCCCCCCTTTCGTGCATGGCTTTGTCTTACTCCCATCTTCCCAGGCACAACAACAAGTGATCCAGTGACTTAGAACTGAGCCAAAGACCACATCCTCCTGAGTAACAGCGTGCAGGGCCTCCCAGCTCCCTGCACTTGTCCCCAACTAGAGGAAACCATAGACCTTCGGAGAAGGGACAACTGTCTCCGGGAAAGGGCAGCAACGCGTTCTCACAGAGTGAAGGCCTGGAGGAAGCAGGCTGGATCTCACTCCCCGGCCATGACCTCGGCACCTCGGGGAAGTGGTGCTAACCACACCCCACTCTCCACTCCAGGCCCACTAGGCCTGCAGCACAGGATCAAGTATTTGGAAATTATTTTCATTACCATAGTTCTACTTCCTCTACATTTTCCTACCTTTATTAACACACACACACACACACACACACACACACACACACACACACACACACACACACAACCACTAGGCCAAAGCCAGCTCAGGTCACTGGCCCCAAGACCCATTTGTTCCCCTTTCCTCCTGTAACCCCGCAGAGATCAGCTCTCATCTTTCAAATTACTCAATAATCACTGCGTTTTCCTGAAACAGAGATCCACATTTGGTGACAGAAAACTGGCCTCCGTGAACCACTAGCACACAGGACCCAATCACAGCAAGCAAAGGCATGGGAAATACTTGCCAGGTGCACACAGCAAGGCCAGGGAAGGGTCTGGGAGGTACATGGGGATGGATGAGAGCAGCAGAACGACCAGCCACCATGAGACTCTGGGATAAATCTCAGTGCCCAGTGTCCTCCCTGCACAGCAGCAAGCCTCACCCCAGCCTGACTGTCTCCCGCTGCAGGAGTGGCCACAACCCCAGGGAGAAAGGCAAGCATATGGCTCTGTCCTTCTGGTCATTTTTCCCAGGTTGGCTGGGCTGCTCTGGAAAATCCCATTTTATCTCCTACAGCTATATGACCTCAAGTTGTCATTTCAAATAAAGCATGCTTCCACTGATTTTTATGAACACAGACAAAAGCTGCTACAATCTCTCTTTTTTTTAAACCCATCCCCTCCCCAAACCTTTCGAAACTAACTGTAGTTGCTATGTAGGGTTATTTGTTTCTAAGGCAACAGCGTATATCTAAGTCCTAATGGCCTGTCCTTTTGCCAGGCAACAAACAGCCTTGTGATGCAACTGCACCTGTCTCAGCTACGTGTTACTATGGAGACATTCCCGTTGCTATGGCTACCATCACGCTAATCGCCTAGCAAAGGCAGACATACAGCAGTCTTCCCAGAGAGCCCAGCTGTTCCTCCCTGTCTCTTGCTGAAGACTGATTGTCTGGGGCCCATGTCGGAACGCTTCTCGACTGAGATGCACAAGAACTTGATTAACACCAGTTCAGAGGCTCACTCTGTGTGTCCCCGGCAGAACAGACATCAGACGGGAAGACCGCAACGGGCGCGCTGCAGAACCACTGGAATCTATGACATCATGCATTCCTAATCAACGTACACATATAGTTGACCTCCATCGTGACTCTTGAATGAGTGGCTACCACAAAAACATTTCTGTGTCCTTTCAAGAAACAGCTTTGTAGGGTTGAGATATGCAATTCAAACCCAAGCACTATATACAGATAAAATTCACTTTACAGGGTGCACACTGGCGTGGTGGGCAAGACGCTGACTGGGAGACATACATGCCCTATGGGAGTACCTGAATTGAGGTGCTGGCCCTGCTTGCTAGTTCAGCTTCCTGCTAATGTGCACACGGGGAAGCAGTGGGTGACAGCTCCCACAGGGGAGACCTGCACCGAGTTCCTAGCTCCTGCTTTTGGCCTTACCCACCCATTACTGTACCATTTGGATAATGAACCAATAGATGAAAGATCTACTTCTTTCTCCCCCTGCCTTTTGCATTAAAAAAGAAGAAGAAAGAAAAAGAACAGTTTTTCTTTTTGTTTTAATTTGAAAAATCTATTTGTAATTTGTTTCTGCGTGATCAGGTTCATTCATCTAGTATCATTTGATGTTTTAAAACATGACAACAGGGCCCGGTGCGGTGGCGCAAGTGGTTAAGTCCTCGCCTTGCATGCCCGGGATCCCATATGGGCGCCGGTTCTAATCCCGGCAGCCCCGCTTCCCTTCCAGCTCCCTGCCTGTGGCCTGGGAAAGCAGCAGAGGACGGCCCAAGGCTTTGGGACCCTGCACCCAAGTGGGAGACCCGGAAGAGGCTCCTGGCTTTGGATCGGCATAGTATCGGCCCGTTGCGCTCACTTGGGGAGTGAATCATCGGACGGAAGATCTTCCTCTCTGTCTCTCCTCTCTGTACATCCGCCTTTCCAATAGAAAATAATAAAAATAAAACTTTAAAAAAATAAAATAAAATAAAACATGACAACAGAGTCCTTAACTGCTGCCCACCCCTCAATTACAGACTTGTAAAAACGGCACATATGACCTCACAGTCTCAAAAACAAACAGGCACCTAAGTGGGGGAACAGCTTCCATTGTTCTCCTTGAAGAGGCAAACACCAAGTAACCACAACAAAATGATCCCTTAGCGGCAGCATCTCCCAGGAGACCGGGCAGGACAACAAGCGATGGTCCCTCAGCATCTGCAGAGACTGGCCAGGTCAAGGGAAGTCTGAGCCTTCCGCTCGACTCAGGCCTGTGCTTTCAACCCAAGAAAACACAGTGGGGCGATCAGGGAGACGCTGCAGGACCCACCACGATGCCTCCAGGAGCCACACTCCTCTCCCAGCAGCAGACAGGTAAGGTTTGCAGGAAATCCAACGGATCTGCCTCCTGATGACACCTGCTTTCCTCCCCATGGATCTGAAGGTATATATATATTTTTAAATCTCATACAGCCTATTAAATTCATTTCTCTGCCAAAGTAGCTCACAATTTCAGGAGCCTGCCCACCCTCCCCCAAAGAGTTTGAAAGGCTTACCTTTGATATGCCTGAGGAGAGGTGGGGGGCCTGCTGAGCCCCTGGGAGGGTGGGTGGTAAGGTGTCTTCTTCAAAGCCTGGATTAGATTTTGTCTATACTCTGGGTCTATGCACCATAACGACCCTTTCCCAATACTCTGAAAACAAGATGAAAACACACATGTATTAGTCCAGGTAGAGTAGTCCATGTTTGCAGCAAGCAGATGCAGAGCTGTTCCAGAAGTTACTTAGATGTTTCGTGGGACTGCTGACTATCTCAGAGTCTTAAATACTGCACCGTGACAAAAAAAATACACCATAAAATATTCAAAAAACAAAAATACGAATATTATTATAGAATTATGCTGATGTATCATAGTACAATTTTCAGATCCAAACTAAAAAAGAAAAATAAGACCCCTTTACTATTTTTTTAATACCAACTTGGAACAACAGCCGCGCCCTCCCCTAAGTGTGGGCTTTTCCTATGTCAGCTATTGACGGCCAGAACGAGAAGAGGGCAAGTCCCCCTCCATGCTACAATCCTGCTCTAGAAATAAGTTACACTGATAAACTACATGGAATGGATATCAGTTTACAACAAACAGAAAAGCAATCTACTTGGTCCGTGCGCCTCCCCCCTCCCCATTTCCTTGCTAAAGCACCACGTTCACAGTTCTGGAACAGAGTTCTGTAACAGCCGCAGGCAGCCATGCTGTAAGGCCCTGGAATCCGGGGTTTGTGTTTGGATCCCTTGGTGCACAGCAGGCTGCAGGGAGCTGGAACTTGGGAAGGAAGAAGTGAAAAATGCCAATGTTCCAGGGGCAGAGAGAGCCAGAGTTCCTCTGAGGCATGTCCACATTCCTGTGGTTGGTGGCTTTGGGCAACATCTTTGATAACAGGTGTCTGGTCCCCTGAGGCTTCCTGGCACGGGCAGAGCCTCTTGGGCAGTGGCTGCTTTGCCTGTACTCTTTCATGGGACCAAGCCCACTCACAGGGCTGGCTGAGGGTTGCTGCTAAATACCGACTGGTTTAGAGAGAAAAGAAGTCAAGATGACTCAAACTCATCCCCACCCTAGCCAACAGGCAGAAGTGTTGTCCTACAAGGAAATGGGGGCTGTCTTCCAAAATTCACAAAATATACAAGAAAACTTGTTTAACACAGGAAACCAAGTCCAGGAGAATCTTCTGAAAGGGATATTAAAAGTGAGTTACTCCTAAAATCCTTACATATATTCTATAAATACCTACTTCAGCCATCAAGGTAGAAGTTTGGGCAAAAAACTAATGCAGAGAGCCCATCCCACTCTTCATTGTCAACTTCGGCAAACAGGCTCACAGCAGGTGCACTGAGAGAGGGGATGACTCACGCGACTACCCCAATCCCAGGCAGCCTGTTTATGCTGAACAACAAGGCTCCCCGTGTAATCCTGCAGATGTAAAAGAATCCAACTGCTGCCAAGCTCAAGGCCCAAGTGCAGCCTTTCCTTTCACGCATGTTCATATATTTTAGAATCCAGAGAAGTTTGGGCAGAGGGGGGACTGAGGAAACTTTCCCAAAGAAAGCAGGTGGGCCACCCTCAGAATCCTGGACCCTCCAGCCTTTCCTTGGGGAACACTAACCCACCTGTGCAGCACATTTTTCAGAAGAAAGTCCAAAGCTAAGGAGCAGGAGGAAGAAGGGCAGGAGACCGAGAGAAGGGAGGCCAGGGAACAACAAACTTGAGAAAGGTAAACAACCACAAAGGCTTGTCAACTTGCTCCTGCCCTGCAGGGGGCTGGCCTGACTCCAGGAGCTGGAACCCCACGGGTCCTGGGCCAGGGAGCTGTCCAGATCACCGGTACACAAAGGCACCCGAGCAGCAGGAGCGTGGGCTGAGCTCCAGGAGCGCCGCCAGCAGCCAGCAACCCAAGCTTTCTGAGATTATCTGGGAACCCCAGGGCCTTTGTTTTGTTTGTTTGTTTTCTGTTCGCCTCCCACTCCCCATCAAGGTGGCTTTCAGGGTGGGGTTGCTTAATGTTAAACTGAGAAAAACCTAGAACAAAGCCATGGAAGGACAACGGAACAACAGCAAGCCAAGCCTAAGGTTTCTACAGAGCCTGACCCAAGTATCTCATTTCTTACTCCTCCTGAAAAGTCAAAAAAGTCAAAAGGAGCAAGCCCAAGAACTGTGCCCCCGCAGGAATGGGAGGGCTGGAGCCAAGAACACTTCCCGGGCGGCTTTGCACAGAGCGCGGTGCCACAGAAAGTCCAGGAGGCCTTGCTGGTAGCGTGGAGTGGAGGTGGTGTGAGGCTCAGAGGCAGCTGAAAATGGCCAACAGAGGCCCTACCTGTGAGGCAGGGAACCACTGGTTCATGTCTTTCATGAAATCAAATCTGACTTTTTCAAAAAGATTTATTTATTTGAAAGGCAGTTACAAAGAATGAGGTTTACTCCACAAACAGCCCCAATTGTTGATAATGAGAGGATGAGGATAAAAACAGAACAGGTTCTAGGGTGTGTTTAAATTTTAGTTATTTATTCTGTTTTAAAAATAGGCAGACATAGGCCTGGTGCAGTAGCCTAATGGCTTAAGTCCTTGCCTTGCATAAAAGATGGTCAGATTAATTTATCCCAAAAGCCATCATTCTATGCTTCAAGACTATGTTTTCAGAAATTAACCAACATAGAGCATCATTTCTCCATTTTCCTGAGCGGGGTCAGGACCCCACACCTGTGCTTCGGGTGAAAAGCCCATTATCATCCCTTTCAAAGGATCACCCTTGCTTGGTTGGCATGGACGTGGTTGCCCAGAAGTCTAGGTCCTATTTCCAGTTCCCAGCTTTGGAAGCTCAAGTCGGGTGCTTAACTAGCAGAAGCCTCAGGGTCATCATCTGTGAAATCAGAGGAACTTGCTACCCACTTGGCAGGAGGGCTGTGAGAACGATAAGGAACAGCATGGGGCTTGGCACACAGTGACATGATGGTGGTGGTGGTGCTGTCCCTGATGCTGGGTCCCACCTGACAAGAGCAGGCACTTGTCACTGTGCAAGATGATACAGGTTTCATCCGATAAGAACTGCCTGTGGTGACTGCTGGGACACGTCCTTGGTCCAAAGGTAGCATTTCTTAGGAGATGCATTCAGATGGGGGAGGAACTCAAAGTGAAGAACTGGCCACTGGGAGACACGCTGGGCTCTGGGCATCAAGGCCCCATGGGGTGCCCTAGCACACATTCATGCACTCACACACAGACACAATTACCTGTGTACACCACCCATGCCAGCTCCTCCTGGGGACCTGCCAGGCACCCATATTCCTGGCTTAGTGTAGCCTGTCCAACATCTCGTTGAAATTGGGGTCTCTCCCATGCTTCTCCTCGCCATGCTCCCTGTGTGAAATCTTGTTCCTCAGGCAGTGGCACTGGACATGGTGAGAGGCAACAGCACCAAATCACACCTGCACATCCATGTGCTTGTGAGAAGGGCCAGGGATGCTGCCAGAGCATTCCAGAAAGCACCCTGTTGCAAGGGTGCTGGCTTGCCTGGTCCTTGTCTGTACTGCTGCCCTCTGGGCTCTCTCATGGTTTCCTTGGCAGTCTCAGAGCGCTTACTCTCCTCCCCCAGAAGTCATTTAAGGCTTAAGTGTCCCAGGAGGAATACAGCACCCAGCCCACAAAGGTACCCAATCCATTTCACTCACACAAGCTGTGGTGGAAGTTAGATAACACAGCAAAAACTCAGAACAAATTGCCATGACGTCAGCTTCAAGACTGGTACATGAGAGCACAGGGTTCAAGTTGCTACTTTGGTTGCCCACATCCCATGTTGACAGGTGCGGGGTCTGTGCCCACACTACCCTCTCCATCCCGGGTTACGGTGTGGGGTCTGCACCCACGCTCCATTCTCCATCCTGGGTTGCAGTGTGGGGTCTACACCCACGCTCCACTGTCCATCCCAGGTTACAGTGTGGGGTCTGCACCCACGCTCCACTCTCCATCCCATGTGACAGGTGTGGGGTCTACACCCACGCTCCATTCTCCATCCAAGGTTACAGTGTGGGGTCTGCACCCACGCTCCACTCTCCATCCCATGTGACAGGTGTGGGGTCTACACCCACGCTCCATTCTCCATCCAAGGTTATGGTGTGAGGTCTGCACCCACACTACCCTCTCCATCCAAGGTTATGATGTGGGGTCTGTGCCCACACTACCCTCGCCATCCAAGGTTATGGTGTGGGGTCTGCACCCACACTCCACTCTCTATCCCAGGTTACGGTGTGGGTCTGTGCCCACACTACCCTCTCCATCCCAAGCTTCCAGCAGCTATTTCTACATGGGAAGACTGATCGAGCTCCAGTCAGCCATGGTGGGCATCTGGGAGTAAAGCAACAGATGGGAAATATCTTGCCACCTCTCCAATACAATGAAAATAAACTTTAAAAAAAGAAAGAAAAAATGAAAAACAGAACGATTGCCCCAACCAAGTCAATTAAAAACAAAAAGGTTTCACAGGCGAGTGACTCTGAAAGGCATATTGCGTGTGTGCTAAATGGTGTCATTTCTAGTCTAAAGATACCAGGGGAACCTCTTCAATTTCAATAATATTAAAATAATCCTATAAGAGGAAAGAGACAGAACGAAGTAAAACAAAACTGATGACAAAGATTTCTTCCAAGGTGCCTCATTGTTCATTCCCTTAACAAAATAGGGAGAATGACTCTAGAAGAGAAAAATTAAACTTCCTTTAGCTTACATTGTTTCAAATGTTCAGTCTCACTCTGTTTTTCCCCCAAAAGCAAGAAAAATGAAAAACACAAATTATTTCCTTTTAATAATTTTAGAAGCTTTTATTTTATTTGAAAGGTAGACACACACACACAGAGGGGGAAGATGAGAGATGGAAAGAGGTCTTCCAACTGTTGATTCACTAAAAAATGCCTGCAGGAGCCAGGGCTGGGACAGGCCACGGCCAGGGGTGTGGGACTCAATCTGGATCTCCCACGAGTGGTGGCAGAGAGCCAAGGACTCGGGCTACCATCTGCTGCCTCCAGGGTGCACCTTAGCTGAAAGAAGCAAGCGGAAGTGGGACCTGAACCCTTACACTCCAATAGAGAAGGCAGGTGAACAGTATCTTAATGGCTGTGCCAACATCTACCCTCCCCGCAAATTTATGTGG